GAACGAAATCAGCAGCGCTCGGAATGACTCGCTTCTCAAGCTTCTGCAACTCCCAGGTTGACTGCCCACCTCCTCGCGCCACCACTCGCTGCTGCTGCTGCTGCTGCTGCTGCTCCTCCTCCTCCTCCTCCTCCTCCTCCTCCTCCTCCTCCTCTGGCTCCAAACTCTGACGTCTTATGTTTCCCTTCCACAGCAACTCTGGCTCGTTGGAAGCACGAGACGAGATCAGAAGGGCTCGAAGCACTGTCGACCTTCCGTTCTCCAACCACAACTCGCTCATCGAGGTACCTGCTGCCCTCCATCGTGATCGAGCACGGGCTGACGGTCGTTCCCAGTCCCACCCGCACCCGAACAAGAGCAGGAAGGCAAAAAAGGTTCCAACGGCTGTGGTGAACATCCTGCAGCTCAAAAGATTCGCAGAGAGCCAAGACGGAGCTGAGCAGCTCGGGGCAGATGCTGGAGGATCGCAGCCGAGAGCCTGCGAGCTCGTTGACTACTCAAGGTTGTGCTTGAAGCCAGAAATGTTGCGATGGTGTTGGTGGTGATGATGATGGTGACGATGATGACGACCACGACGATAAAAGAGACGGAGAAGTAGAGTGGCTATGCAGAGGAGACTGATTTTGATACAGGTGGACAGAATTTTGGCGAGAGGAGGAGGAGCCTGTCGGAAGTTGTTGCTGGTCGTTGATGATGCTTCATCTGCCCGGTGCTGATTCTGTGACATCTCTCAGCCTGCAACTTTGTGCACGACAAGGAACAAGCGGTGAGGGAAGGAAAGGAGGAGAAGAAAAGCTGAGACTGAACCAGCAGCACGTTGGAGCTCCGCAGGCTGCGAGGAAGGAGTCTCTTCCTCCTCTTCCCCCTCTTCCTCCTTCTGGAAACGAGTTCAGCGCGGCTCGGTTGGCGTCTTCCTCGGGCATGCGGACAGGTTTGCTGCCTCGCTGGTGTCACTGGATGTGATGGGGGTGGAGCAGACGGCTTCCAGCAATGTCGTCGTAGAGCCGCAAATAGAGGAAAGAGGTGAGGGGACTAGTTGCCTAGTCGTTGATGTTCCTCACCCGATGGAGCAGCACCAGCTACGACAACGTTGCTGACTTTGTCCGCCCCGCCCTCTCCTCTTCTCTTCTTCCTTCCTACCGAGCGAGCGCCTTCGCCGTGCCCAACAGCGTAAGCTGACCGACTCCTCTTCCTCCTCCCCTCTCATGCTCTACTTCAGATGCTGCGAGCCAACGGGATGGACTGCCTGCTTGACCGCGACGGAGACTCGGAGAGCGAGAGGAGCAGCAAGTCGCACTACGAGCCAGGTTGCCCCCTCCCCTTCACACGCTTGACTAACTTGTTGGCCCCTGACAGTCACGCCCGGGCCACGGGCATGAGGAAGAAGAGGAACTTATTCTTTGATATTGATCGTAGAGTTTATTCTTTCACCTTGTATATATCGACACCTGTGAGCTTGACGATTAGAATACACCACCACAAGACCAGCAGGAGCACATCAGAGCATCGGCTCGTTCTTGATCGGCATCATCCGCATCACCCCATCGATCCTGGCCTTCATCTGCTCCATCTCTCTCTTCTTGCTCCTCAGCTCCATCAGCGCCTCGTCCAGACTCTCCTCCACCTTCAACTTCCTCATCTCTGTCCTCATCAGCTTGCTCTTCACCCTCTCCAGCTCCTCCTTCAGCCTCTCCATATAGAAATCCTTCTCCTGGTCCGCCTTCTGCCTCCAGTCCATCTCCGCCTTGGCCTTCGCCAGGTTCATCCCGGCCATCCACCTCACCTCCTCCGCGTTCTTCAACTTGATCTGCCACTGCTCCATGTCCGTCTGCATCGCCTGCACCCGGCTCTCCGCCCTCTGCCTGTGCGCTTGCGTCTCCTGCAGCGAGTTCTGCAGGCGGCTGATCTCGCGGTTCTTGTGCTCGAGCTTCTGCCTCGCCTCCATCTTCACGTTCTCGAGCTCCATCAGCACAGACGTCAGCTGCTCTCCTGACTTGCGCAGCCTCGCCACCTCCTCCGCAAGGGACTCTGCCTCCCTCATCTTCAGCTTGAGCTTCTCCTCGAAGCGCGACTCGATCTCACGCCTCATCCTCCTCTCCTCCTCCACTTCCCGCTCCTTGTTGTCCAGGTCGGCTTTGTACCTCTGGACCTCTGCCTGCGCCATCAGCGAGGACTCCTTCCACCGAGCTGCAGCAGCATCCTCAACGCGACTGGCACCGCCGGCCTGCTTCAAGTTCTCGATCTCAAGATCTTTCTGCAGCAGGGCATCCCTGGCTTTCGCAAGCTCCTGATCCAACCTGTCGAGCACGTCATAGGGGATCTCTCCTCCCTCGTCTGACTGCTCGCCGGCCTCCACGTTGCTGCTCAACTGCAGCTGCTCCTCCAGCTCCTCCTCCATCCTCCTTATCTCCGCTTGCAACGATTCAATCAGGACGTCCTTGGACCTCAGAGCATCCTCGTACTCCGACGAGAGACCTCCCTTCAAGTTCTGTACCTCGTCTTCCAGCTCTTCGTTTCTTCTTCTCAGCTCCTCGTTCTCTTCCTCCAGCTCTCGCATCCTTGTCTCCGTGTCCACGCTCTCCTCCCCTCCTGTCCCGTCCCCTTCCCCCGTTTCTGATTTCATCTCAGCCGGCAGGTCTGGAGGGACATCATCGTCTTCCCCGCTCGCAGACGTTGCGTTTGCTTCCTTGATACTTCCCGAGTCCTCCTTTACCATCTTGTCCTCCTCCTCTGAAGCCCCTCCGGCGACGCCTTCACTGCCGGCACCTTCCTTCGCTTGGTCTGCTGACGGTTCTTGCGCTTGCATCGGCGCTTCTCCTCCCGCCCTCTCCACTTCTGCTGCTCCTGATCCAGATGCTATCTCTGCTCCTGCTACCTCTGCTCCTCCTCCTCCTCCTCCTCCTCCTCCTCCTCCTGTGGCCGCCGCTGCTGCTTCGTGCTCCATCACCGCATTTCAACGTACATTCACCCCTCATCCCCCACTGACCAAGCCGTTTTTTTCAGTTGTGAATGTTGAAAGGAGGGGTGGTATTTAGTTTAACCAAGGGGGTCATATGTTGAGGGGTTGCTGGGGACAGGGTGTATGGTAGAGGAGGGGTGGTATTCCAGGGAGGAAGGGGGGTTATGAAGTAGGGGTGGGTGGGTGGGTATATTTGTTGTCGGGTGGCTGTACAGGCGCAATGGCAGAACTTCGCGAAGATGTCGATGAGGTGACGACGATGCCGAAGATGCGCTCATCCTCTCCCTCCTCCTCGCATCTCTCCCTCCTCTCCCTCTTCTCCTCGCATCTCTCCCTCCTCTCCCTCTTCTCCTAACATCTCTCCCTCCTTCCATCTTTCCGTCTGCTTCTCCGTTCTCGTCTTCGTGCTTTTCCCACTCCTATCTTTGCGTGTTTACATAAGGAGGCGGAACTTGTCCAGGGTGAAATGAGTTCACTGAGAGGGGGAGAGAAGCAGAGGAGGTGCGAGATGTCAAGAAAGTCTGTGGTGCCTGCACGCGAGAGAGAGAAACATCAAACTGAGAGAGAGGAGGGGGAGGGAGCCATCGTTTGTGCTGGTCTCCTGTGACTCTGAATGTCCAAAAGCTGCTGGCAAAGCACGCACAAGACATCAACTTGCTACGAACAGAGGTAAGACACGAAGTGGAAGTGCTGAAAGCTCGTTGAAGAGTGATACACTATCAGGTTCTTGATGTGATACAAGGAGTCGAGGAATACGATGACATCTTTCTCCTGCGATTCGTCCTCACCCGTGACTGACATGCTGGCATGGCGTCGACCTGACAGACCTGCTGCTGCAGACCTGAGCCGAGGAGGGCTGCAAGCACAGGCCGAGGCCGTCAGGAAGACAGTCAAGTTCAGGCAGGACAATCGCGAGATCCTGTCAGAGGTGAAGACGCGCCTTCGCATGCTCGATGGTGATGCGGGCAGGTTGTGAGGACTAAGAAGCCGCCAAATCACGACATCTTCATCAAGTTTCAGGTGTGAGGAAAGAGAGGAGGAGAATCAGGAGTGGGAGCAGGAGATGATGAGGATGGAGATGAGGAGGACGAGGAGGAGAGCAAGAAAGGCTCAGAACGCACGTTTGACTTCCTCCTAGGCAGCTGGATACGTCGGTGACCTGGGAGGAATGGAGCCGATCCACGTGGTAGGATAACATGCTGTTGCTGCCCATGGAGGATGAGCAGGAGGGAAAGGAGCGGAGGAGGAGGAGGGAGCAGGAGCAGGAGCAGGAGAAGGAGAAGGAGGAGGAGGACGACGAGGAGGAGGACGGACCACCAGTTCAAGAGCGGACATTGTGTAAGCAAGGGCCTCATGAAACCGCTCATCCCCGAGCAACTGGCGGAATGGCCGCTGTATCTAAAGGTTATGATGCTGCTGGTTATCCTCCTCCTCCTCCTCCTCCTCCTCCTCCTCCTCCTCCTGTTACTCCTCCTCTCTCCTCCTCCTCCTGTTGCTCCTACTCCTGCTTACTACTACTACTACTTCTCCTCATCCCAGGGTTGGCAGTGAACGTTTTGCGGCAGGAGATCTACTTCCGGATATGCGACGAGAGAACGAGGAAGACGAGAAAGATTGTCAAGACCCTCACCGTTATGGACATGGATGGTTACTCCATCTTCGACGGCGATTCTCGCTTCTTCAAAGTAGCTTTCCCCTAGCCGCCTGACCCCCTCGTGATTTTCTCGCGCAGGCGTTGGGGGAGTCGTCCAAGGTAGAGCATGCTCCTGTACCGGACGACACCTCTTAGTTGACAGCATGAAAGTTGTCGGCGATTTACTACCCTCAGCTGCTGGGAAAGACCGTCATGCTCAACGCTCCTTCCTTCATGCGCGCGCTCATGTCAACCGCCTCCGTCTTCCTGCCCAAGTCAGGTCGAGGCTCCTGCTGACTCCTGTCCTGATACCCCAGCAGGTCGACTCTCGACAAGATCGCCTTCTGCCCTGCGAGCCGAGCAGCGCTCTACGCAAGGAAGGTGTGAGATAAAAGTCCCTGGGGGGAGCCGGGGGGGGGAGGGTGGCAGGAGGAGGGAGCAGGAGCAGGAGCAGGAGCAGGAGCAGGAGCAGGAGCGCGATTGGGAGGAGGCAGGAAGAGAGTAGAAGCAGGGCAGAGCCTTTCTGGTGCTGCCGATTGACTTCACGTAGGATGCGAAGGATCTCAAATGCCCGTTCCTGCAGAAGATGACAGGAGGTGAAGGATGTGCGAACCTGCCGGACTTTCTCGGTGGATGCCAGGAGCCGCCGGAGAACTTCAAGCCGAGGGCGCAGTCAGGGCATGTGAAGGTGAGAGGGGGAGGAGAAAAACGAGCTGGTTTGTCCCATCAGTGAGAGCAGAGCAAGAGTCGAGGAGGAAGACGAGGAGAGAGGGATGGGAGATGGGAGGATGTTAACGAGGGTCGCAGATCAATGTTGGCAGTCGCTCATGCAAGGAGATCAACTTCGAGGTCCCGATTGCTGGGTTACATGCGTTGTGGGAGGTGAGGACGAAGAGGACGAGGACGAGGACGAGGACGAGGACGAGGACGAGGACGAGGACGAGGACGAGGACGAGGACGAGGACGAGGACGAGGACGAGGAGGGGGTTGTTGAGGAAGGAAGCTAAGGAGGAAAAGGAGAAATCGTGTAACGAGGAGCGGGGTAGGAGGACGGTGACGGGCAGCAGGTGACGGTGGAAGACTTTGGGATCGACATGAGCGCTGAGCTGATCCCATCGGATGGTTCAGAGCCGCTGGAGGTTATGAAGGTGCAGAAGATCAAAGCGAACGTGAGCTGCTGCCTCGTCCCCTCCCTCTCTCATCCTCCTCGCAGAACGGTCTCACCTCTGGTGACTGGATCCTGCCGACAGCAGGACAGCTGCTGGTCCGTTTCGACAACTCTTACAGGTCCTTTCCATCCCACCACCACCACCTCCTCTTCCTCCTCGTTCACCTCCTTCTCCTTCTCTGAACTGCCTTTAGCGTTCTTCGATCCAAGAACATCGAATACCGGATCATGGTCTCTCCTTCACAGACAGAACAGGAAAACGATCTCACCAACAATTCAGACAATCTCTCTGTACTATAAAAACTCCTCCTCCTCCTCCTCCTCACACAAGGGTGCTGACATGTCCGTGCTGCACACGTCGGATGCGGTGGTTCATGCAGTCGGCGATCAAGACGCTTCTGCTCGCCTCGTCCCACGCGACCCCGTGAGGACGATTGAGCCGCGCCTGCCGCTGGCATGAGAGGCTGCAACAAGAGAGCGAGACAGGGGGTGGGGGAGGGGGGAGCAGCTGGTGAGAAGAAAGGGGAGGGGGGAGGGCGGGAAGAAGGGGAAAGGGAGGGGAGCAGAGCAGCTGGTGAGAGAAGAGTGACGGGTTTTAGGAGGTTGACAGACATTCGGTGGGTGCCGGGGGGTTGGGGAGGGCGAGCAGGCAGAAGAGAGGAAGAGTGAAAGAAGGGAACAGGTTGAGGAGGAGAATCCACCTGATCCACAGGACCGTCGACGTATCCTGACTCCGGTAGCATGCGACCCTCCGAATCTTTTGATGTCTGACGACGAGCCATGAGCACCTAAGAGAGCAGGAGAAGAGGCAGGAGAGTCACCTTGCCTACCACAGTCGTCACCAGCCAGTCGCCGCGGACTCGTCGGAGGAGACGGATAGCGCTGTTGCTGAAATCTACCGAGTGCAGGACAAGGAAGACTGGATCAGTACAGGTACTTGGGGGAGGAGAGGATGGAGTGGAATAGAGGTTGGGAAGCCGCCAGGAGAAAAGAAAGAGATGAGAGCAGAGGAGAAGAGGAGGGAAGCAGAGCAGAGCAGAGGGAAGTCACCGCTGATCAAGATCTCTTGCTCGTTGACAACCGCCAGGCCCGTCGGACAGTTGAATCTCGCGCTAGAGGAGGAGCTTAAGAGGATGCTGTCAGCTCAATCCCTCACCTTTCGCCCTCTCCGTCCTCAAACCCTGACTGCCCTGACCGCGACCCCGCGATCAACGTCACCGTCCAGTTCCTGTCCTCGTCTCTGACTGGCTCGTCATCGCCACCATCGTTCACGCGTGAGGCCTCCCGACCTCGTGATGTGGCGGATTGCATGGTTGTACGTGTCGGCGATGAAAATGTTCTCGCCGCTCTGATCCGCCGAGATGCCACCGGGATGATTGAACAACGCTTCCTTCCCACATCCACTCGTCATGCTCCCCCCTTCCCCTTCCCCTTCCCCTTCCCCTTCCCCCCCTCCTCCTCCTTTGTCCTCTTCCTCCTGCTCGTTCTCCTCTTCCTCCTCGTCCTCGTCCTCCTCCTCGTCCTCTCGCCCTACCTTAATGCTCCCATCCCTCAGCCCTGGTTTCGACAAGTTACTCCCTGCCCACGTGACCACATGCTCTCCTACCCTGACATGCAGTCAGTTACGAGCAGCGGAGGATCAAGCGCCATCACCCGTTGGTGATGAAAACCTTTCTGATGCAGTTGTTGTCGAAATCAGCAACTAGCAGGTGCTCTGCCTGCCTGTCGTGTCAGACGAGCAGCGGGCAGGCAACTCGCAGCACCCCGTCCATGTCTTGAAACAGAACGTCATGAGGATAGCAGAACTTGCACTCCCCCACAGGCCCATCCACGTGCCCCTTCGCTCCATGGCCTGAGCGTCAAGACTTTAGTAGGGAGAGGACGAGGAAGGGGGGGGGGGGGGGGGGGGGGGGGAGGTGAGATAGGGGTAGGGAGGGACAGGAGAGGCAAGGAAGGAGGGAGCGCGAAGAGGGTGGAGGGGAGGGACCTGCTATAGTCACAACATCTGCGTGCACCAGGTCCTCCATGCTCTTCGCTTCCACATTTATGCGGATCGAACTGACTCGTCTCACCGCCTGGTTGTAAGCATCGGCCACGAACAGCTCCATCCTGCTGTTCACGCAGAGCCCATGAGGCCCGTTGAAGGACGTCTCCTCCACCCTTCCATCCACGTGCCCCTCTCCGCCCTTGCCGATGGCGCAGAACTCCATCCCCTCGCGAGTAGTCAGAAGCATCCTGTTGCCCCAGCAATCGGCGATCACGATGCAGCTGATGCCCCCGCTGAGAACGGCGACGGCGTGAGGACCGTTCAAGGTCACTGCCGGCGGGTCTTGGCATGGCAGAGGCTCCTCCGAGAGCGTGAGCGTTTGATCAAGCACCGAGCAGCTCGTCTCATCCAGAGCATCCGGACGTCCTCTCTCGCTCTGCACCGTCACCTCCAAGTCATCTGCTTCCTCGGCCTGGAAGCTCCAGCCTTGGCTGAAAGACGCCGTGAGCATGGAAATTCGCTGGCTGATAAGATCCGAGAAGCTGTCCCCCCCCTCTCCCTCCAGCATTGACGCCTCTTCTCCTTCGACCGCGATCTCTGAACTCTCATGCTTGTTGTCTTCGTATCGTTCAGTCATCTGGCATGCACTGCCACCTGCGATCTTTCCTCCTCGTCTGCTCTCTCCTCCCCTTCCTTCCCTTGTCCTTCTCTTCCTTCCCTTGTCCTCCCTTCCTGCCCTTGCTCTCCGACGTCTTGGCACACCAATAGGCTCCTTTTGTTCAGTGTTCTGGTCCGGGCCCGCTCCGTTGATCGGACCGGACGGACCGGCTCCATCCATCGGGCCCGGAGCCTCATTTCAGTGCCGGGCAGGGAAGTAAAAGTGCGAGTTGAGTAAAAGAAGCTGACGCACTGAAACGTTTTGACCCTTTTTTACGGGACCCGCAAAAGTTTCTTTTTTCGTCGCCTTGAGGACCGTTATACCCCCCAAGGGGATAGAGACGGTAGCACCCCTATAGGACACAACTCATAGGGAATCACGTAGGACACGACGCATAGGCTACGGTCACCTGTTGTGCTGTACGATGAACTTCCATACCTCAGCCTAAGACCACTACCCCCCTCCCTCCCCCGACCTTCCACCGGTTCAATGGAACAGTTCAGTCCCCTGGTGATCACCTGGCACACCCGGGCCCCGCAATCTCGAGATACAATGGTACAGTACGGCAGTCATGACCCCTGGAGAACTAGAGCCATCGGTATGGATTGGTACGGCACTGCTTGACACTCTCAGGTCCTATCACCTGCATTACGTGGTCATATACTTGATAAGACTTCACGGTCAGCCAGTGAGCCCTAAAAGTTAGTACCATTTTTATTTTGTACTAAAGTCCCCTACTGGTACAATCTGAGCTTATGTGGTTTACAAGTTCAGTTTTAGCTCTCCCCCATTACTACACCCGGAGTGGACCCCTGGCATGTAACCCCACCCCCCTTCCCAGTAAGACCGAAGTATCACACCATTCTAACGTGTCGGTTTTGTTAACAGGGCAAGGGTGGGGTGATGAGGGCTATTTCAGGGGGTACGGGAACCATTATGGTTTACTTCCTGTGTGACTGGGATGGAAGGGGTGGGGCCCACTCAAGAGGCGCCTCGCCTCCATGGTTGCGGTAGAGTACCGGTCTGAAATAGGTGTGACACCAGGGTGGTAAGAGGTAGCAATTTTGGTAGTAGGAGGGGTGAGGGGTCTGAGGGATTCAGGTGGGGTGGGGGATGGCGGGAGGGGTCAGGTGCAGAACTTGCTGAGCGAGTGTCACATGAATAGAAGTGTTTGACGTGTGCAACTGAACCGACTGAGAAGAACAAGAGCGGCAAGGAGCATAAGGACAAACACTAGGTCAAGGACAAGGACAATAGCGTACCCTGAAGCATTGGAGAGTGGAGCTCGCTACAAGGATAAACTGTTGGTGGCGTGAAGCGTAGCAGTGAAGATAAGCCAGAAGGGTCAGCTCCAAGCGACAACTACGTGGTAGGAGACTTTGAGTGGCCTACGAAAGAGACGCCATCTATTCAATGGAGCAACCCCAAATTCTTAGCGACCACCTGACAGCTCGCATCGATAGTTTATTGAAAGCTGCAACAGATAGAAGAGCAAGGGCCGATGCATTGCTCCTGCGCATGGAGAGTTGTGACAGCAGCAGTAGTGGCAGCAGCGCTCCTTCTTCCCCCTGCCATTGGAGCAGGAGGGGATCTAAGAACCTCGACGCCCTCTACAGCGAGGCTCAGCTGATGGGCTTGCAACTGCAGAGCATCTTGCGTATGGTCTCATCCATGGAGTATCCTGCAGTTTATAAGTGCGAGAGCTGTGGAGGATACATGAACCAAGAAACTGTGGATGTCGAAGGATACATTAACCAAGAAACTGAAGATATGAGCCCAAGGTATCTCTTCTGATCGTCTTGAAAACAAGGATCGTCGAATGTACGTGCTGCCCGTTTTGTGGCAGCGGGTGGCATTAGCAAGCGCAGGTGAAAAATTTATATAATGAATTAATCAACTATAAATGAATCTTTGATTGCATCAGTGTTGTTTGCGCTTTTTCATGAGAAAGCAAAAGTGGAATGAGTAATATCTAACAAGAAGCAGGAAAAAATGTCGTAGAGAAATTCGGTCCTGAAGAATACTATTTGCGAAGACCGTCAATATCATACACTTCCAAAGGTCGCAAAAGAAGAATTTCAGAGGATGTTCGAGAGAAACGATGAATGGGGCAAAAGAGGTGCAACAGAGTCGTTGTTGGAGTGCGAGTTATGCAAGGTGACTGGCCAAGTCAAGTGTCAGGATTTCATCGATGTTTGGGATGTTCTTGGCAAAGTTCACAAAACTCTTTCCGTGTATCTGGCCGTCGTTGCCAGGGTCTCCTCCCTTCTGCACGATCTCTGTCACCTACAAGCACGAGTCGGTCAGGAGCAAGTGCCCCTCAAGCCAGCAGGAGGGCTCACCGTCGTCTTGATCAGTGCCTCTCGATCCTCCACACTCATGTCTGGACGAACCTGGAGAACAAAACTTTCAGACAAGAGCAAGTGCCTCAGGTGGACGACAGGGTCACCAGGGAGATGATTTGGTGCAGCTCGGAGATATCGAGCGTATCATCCAGGTTGTAATCAAACAAATCAAAGATGAAAGCCAGTTTCTCCACAACAGGCTTGCCAGGCCTGAAAATAGCAGCCGTCCTTACAAACGTGTCGAAGGTCACTTCCCCGAATTCGTTCTTCGACATGATGGCAAAGATCCTCTTGACGTAGGGGTTTGCCGCCAGGTTCGGGTTGCTGCTCAGATCTTCAGCACACAGGTTGTTGGACTTCTTGCAGAGGAAGCGGAATCTACGAAACAGAAACTCCAGCTCAGGAGGCGAGAATCCCGTCTCCTTGACATATTTCTGCACTTGCTTTTCCGAAAGTAGCTTCGAAGATGCCCCTGCACCCATCGCACATGCGCGTCTTGGCGGTTGAGGTTGTGATCAGAGAATCAGGACCTTCTCTCACACTCACAGAAGCACAACCTGAAAGCAACGTCAGGAAGTACAGAAAGGATGATCAACCAACATTATCTAATGTTTCCTCATGAGCGACGAAGCGCCCGACTTGCGTTTCCTTCTGCTGATTAACCACCATCATATAAGTTATCTGAATTCTATGCGCAGGTCATCTAATGTCTCCCATCGTGTGCGCATGGCTTGACTCTAACAGTGTTTCACTTTGACCAAATCAAAATGCAATAATTTCTTTCGTTGACAATTCACAAACGTACTGGTAGACTTTCCAGTCATGTCCCATCAGCTTCTGCCTTGTATCTGCCTTGTAGCTGTATGCAAGAGCTAACTGTTCACTCCCCCCCTCCCTCTCCCTTCACCCCTCAACGCCTTCCTGTACCAGCCATGCCCCACTGCAGCATGCATGCCCCATGCAGTGCCTGCTCCTCTCCTGCCTGCATGTCAGCGCTGGACCTCCAAGCTGGATGTCATGGTGTGGCCGGCAGATTCAGCACCAACTGCTCAAACGTAACGGATGTAACGTTATGTAACGTATATAACGGTGAAAAATCAGTATTGCCACGGTGTGATGTTCGTCATCCGGTGTCAGG